TGGCTCACTGCAGCCTCCACCTTCCAGGTTCAAGCGATTCTCCTGCCTCAGCCTCCCAAGTAGCTGGGATTACAGGCATGCACCACCATGATCGGCTAACTTTGTGTTTTTGGTAGAAATGGGGTGTTTTTAGTAGAGTTGATCAGCCTGACCAACCTTTTGCCATGTTGGTCAGGCTGATCTCGAACTCCTGACCTCAGGTGATTCACCACCTTGGCCTCCCAAAGTGCTGGGATTACAGGTGTCAGCCGCCATGCTGGCCCCAAAGTATAATATCTTAAATCTTTATCCTAAAATGCAAGCAAGGTGGGCCTACTCCATACACCAACTTGTAAGGGGTGACTGACTCTCCAATATTCCATCATACTTGATATCATTTGAAAAGAAGAATGTTAAAGACATGCCTTTGATTCTTCTTTCCCATCAATATCACAAAAAAAGTCAGGGTCAACTAATTCAACCAGTGCTGGAAGATGGAGGAGGAAAAAAGACCAACTGAAACTAAATTCTTTCACATTTCTATTTTCCTTCCCTGGCCAAAAGAAATTTGACACCACTACCAGAAAGATAAAACTGTAAACATTCTTTTTTTTTTTTTATTAAGAAAGCATGCAAAAAAACAATGACAACAACTTGTGAGACCAGACGCCCCCTTCCCAGGATGCAGCAATGCAAAGCATTATGGGTGGTGGCACGAAGGACTCACCAAACCAGAAACATGAGGAGCAGGGACTGAGGAGACAAAGGCTGGGATGGGTGGATCTATAACAAATAATTACTCCTTGTGTCCCTCTCCTCCACTTTCTCTCGTATTTCCTCTTACAGGCAGTGAGCTCCTGCAGTTTTGCACACATCACCCGATACAACAATAATGACTACACTTCGGGTCCGGCAATGCTAGACCAACAAGAAAAGTAGTATTCTTTTCACTTCATGGGGGGGGAGGGGGAACTGAGGCCCAGAGGGAGTCAGGTGTGCCCTGTGCCATGAAACAAGACTGAGCTTGGTGGAAGGGAGCTGGGATCTCAGGAGGCCTCATGGCCAATCTCCCGTCCCAGACCCAAACTTGAGCTACCCTGGCTCCACACCAGAATTCTTCATGAGACTAGTTTGCAGAAGACACAGATGAACAAGGGGCATTTGTATGTATGATTCAGTTTACCCTTGCAAATCCTGTATGGGTCTGAACAGGAAAAGGGTTTAGAAAAGAGGAGTGATCATTAGCAAAGCGGAGAGCTGATGGGAAGTTGTGTGCAGGACGCACCTTAACTGGAAGGAATAAGGAAGGAAAAGATGCCTAAAATAGGGACACTGGGCAAAGGCATTTTGCCACCCTCTAAGAGAAATTCTCCTTTCCCCAAAGGGAAATATTATATCATACTTCAACTCCACTAAGTGCCCTCCAGCATCATGGGAGATTCAAGCCACTCGCACCCCCATTTCTTTTTTACAAAGGCTTTAAAGAAATAAAGTGCTCTTTAGTTAACTGCCCTATCTTGCCCCTTTACTTCAGCCTCACTGGACTTCTTCAATAAACTCTCACATATAACCCCCTTCCAAAAAAAGGAAAGGGGTGGATCAAAGAAAAAAGCAGGAGAGCAGAAAGCCAAATCTCTCGGAAATCATGGGTAAATAAAATAATATGAATGAAAAGCAGAAATCACAAAGAAAGTGGCCTTGTCTATTCCATACATTTTGTCCCACAGCTTTTCAGCAAGTGAAATAAGGACAGAAGTAAAATTGTTTTTCCCTCTCCTAACTAAAATTCAGCAATTAACATTAAATATACTCTGAGTACTTTGCTACAGTAAAT